GAGATACATCTTCAGAAATACGTTTTCAGAAATGTGTTAATTAAGTTTACAATTGTTCTTGGTACATTCTTTTTATACCTGTGCTAATAGAATGGGTCAAACCATCTCAAACTGTAACACTGGGAATGATACTACCACTGGTTTTTTCCCTTCACTCACCAGTTACATAACTTTCACCATATAAAGCTGCTGTAAAGTCCATGAAAATGAGGGTGCTGTACCTGGTGAGGAGATGTGAGCCTTTTTTCATATGTCAGTTGACTTCCTTCTGTGGAGAAGCGGAAACTTTTTCTTCTGATACTGTCTTCTGACTCGGACTTGGGGAATTTATCGCTATCTCCTTTGTCCTCTGCTTCAGACATTTCTCTCTGTCTTCTTTTCTTCCTTCTGTTTCTTCTTTCTTTAGCACTCTTTGAGCTCAACTTTGATGCTTCTGAAGAGCTTTCCAAGAGTTCTCCTAATCCCCCTACACCACTGAAATCTCTTGATGCAACTGATGCTGCTGCTACTGCTGCTGTTGTCTGTCAGGTTACAAAGCAAGGTATTAGCAGGCCAAAAAAAAAAAAAAGAATAATTTTATAGTCGTTTATCAACTTTTTTTATTATCACTGTGATAATAATGTTCTTTGTACACTCTTGATTATGTAAGTATCCAAATCCAAACAAATTAAACTGAAGATAAAATACTGAGTTGTAAAGCTCCTCATTGTTAGCAGCATCAGCTACTTGAAGCACCGACTTCAGCAGAACAATAGCCACACTATTCATTAAAGAATTGTTGCACAAGACACTGGTCTAAAATAAAAGTGGCCAGAAAAGTATAAACATAGTGCTTTTTCATCTATTTCAGAACTGCTATTCCATTTGGTCTTGAGAAAAGCCCCATAACATGCTCTCAGTTAATGCCTTCTGAGTTCTTACAGAGAAAACTAATGCCTAGCATTCACTACATCAGTTAATGTATCATAATCCAACTACAGCCTACAAGTAGTTGGATCCAGCCTTTCTTCACTGTCTTTATAGCAAGGACACTCCCCTTTCTTTCCCTCTACCTTCACTGGGAACAGCCACACTGTCCAGACGTATCTTCAAGCCCTGCCTTCCTCCCACATTTCCCATGGTATCAGCGCTCTATGTCTTTGTTATAGATATGCAAAGGTACATTTATTGTCTGTTGGTGCTGCAGCCAGAGATAAGAAAACACTGAGATTTCTCCTCTGATGGAAAAGAGTAGGATTATTTACTGGAGCAAAGAGTCATCCCAAAACTCAGGACCAGTATCTTTAGCTACAGCGCTCAGCCTACTTGGTTTGCTTCATTAGGGAAACAGGTTCATTTAGTCATCAAAAAAGGAAGAATTGAGAGTATGTTCAGTGACGTTCCTAGAAAGAACTGTGGGAGATTCTGTGAAATTCTGCAGTGGAAAATACGTTTGGGAAGGTAATAGATTGCTGTGAGCTTACAAAAAATGGTGGTTTGATAAATGGCAAGAGACTAGGGTTATATAACAAAGATAACTAGTAATTATCCGGCAAAACATATTATATTCAATGCCAAGTATTTCAGGAATGATGACATACCTCTCTACAGGGGGAAAGGGTAGTTTGAAAGCTCATAGTAAGAATTAATGTCTTTCTTTACCACAATATACATCCCATGCTATACAAGTTGATTCGATGCAGACTTTTTCTGCTAAAAGGAGCATTAAAAGGATTCTGAAGTGTTTATAAATTAAAAAAGTGATACTCCAAGTTTTGTCATACTGGTTCACACAATATCATCCTTCAAAGACTAACAGAAACAAAGGCAGCAGATGCTGAGTCATCACCCATCTACTTCATAATAGTAACAGCAAAGGTCAAACAAGTGGAGCAATACAAAGATCACTGTGATGACTTAATTTTGTGGATGAATAGGTTCAGTGTCCAGGGGGGTGAAGAGATGGGTACCAAATTCATTTCTCATTCAACAGCTTAGTGATCCACCTTGTAATGGCTACTTTCTGCTAATATTTTCACAAACAAAAAAGATCCTGACTGTAATAATGCTTTACTTATAATGAATTTATTGGTCATTCATTTTAAAAAATGTGACTTTCCAGAGTCTTTATCCAACCTGCCTTATAGTCTCTGTTTCATATTCTGTTCTTCCTAATTCTGAATCAGTTTCATCTGTCCCAATTCTCAAACATACAAACATCTAGATGAGCCTCCTGATATCTTTTGATATAATCTGATTTAGTGCCTTTAATGGATTAAAATAGCAGATTTAAGAAAAACCCAACAACATACTCTTTGCTGACATTTAACATTTTAAATTTTAAATTTTACAGGATTCTTCTTTTTCTTTAGTGATTTGAAAGTGATAAGATTTAATAACTGAAATAAAGATCAGCTAATTAGATTTCACAGGTCATACATAAAGATTTCTTTTCAAGAAAAAGATGGAGAGTTTCTCTTTTTATTATCACTTTATAGAGTCATTCGAAATTAGTGAAAGTAGCTGTAAAATAGTACCAAAAATATAGTTTCATAGAAGATTCTAATTTGCTTGCATTTTATAAACACTGCCCTGTTGAAAATTACTAAATACCATTTAAAAAGCAATGGAAAGTCAGTTCAGAAATTAGACAGGTGGCCAACTCATAGAGCTGAACTCCTGCATACATTTTACTTTTTGATAAGAAAGCCTTTCACAAAAGTATCTACTAAAATGTCTTTTTCTCATAAAACTTTAAATAATTTTCTTCTCTTTTCAAAGAAAACAAAGATTACTTTAAAACAATTATGAAGTAATACCTCTGTTAAAAATATTGCTTGTCTGTTCTAAGGGTATATAAACTTCTGATTTACTTCAGTGTCAGTTACAGATATGTTTAAGTGCCTTCCTGGACAGAAACCTAAAAGAACACTGATTAAAATCCTTCTCTCTAGTTGACGAATATTTGTGAAGAACTACTAAGTACAGCAAGCCTGGCAATTCTCACTCAGATATAAACAAGAAGTAACATTACTAGACTTTTTTCATGCTGTTCATAAGATCTGTAAAATAAAAGCATCATGAATTATCACTACTTATAGTCAGGTTTCTAGAAGGCTCTTATCACAAATATTTTACTTTTCCAGTTTTTTGGTGAAGAAAGTATCATTCTTCTCTGTGCCATTAGCTTGCTTTTTTTGCTATTTCCTTAGTTCCTGTTTTAATTTGGCTATTTCCACATTTATAACTTGCATGGTAAACAAGACCTTTCTTTTTTTCCGTAATTCATTGCACATTTCATACATGTTCTAATTCATAAAAGATTTTTATCCTTGCCTTAAGAACAAGGCTGTTCAGAAAGTACAATTTCCATCACTACCTGAGCTTCTTCTTGTTGCTTCTTGAGTTGCTCCAGCATCTGCTGAAATTCTGCCTCTTTCTGCTCTGCTTCTTCCATGGTTGCTTGATTCTGTTCTTCATAGGCCATGGCAACCACAGCCAGGATCAAGTTGATCAGATAGAAAGAGCCCAGAAAAATCACCAGAACAAAAAATATCATGTATGTCTTCCCAGCAGCACGCAGTGTCTAGGAAGTGGAAAGCATATGTTATTCCACCACTTATCTTTGTTACTGTAACAGTGTTATGCTTTCAGCTCATGTAAAAATAAGCCTATTTATAAAATTTTGGATGTCACCAACAGTTTACTTGTTATGTCATAACAATTTCTTACCAGCTGATACAGGTTTTCCCAGAAGTCCTGAGTCATTAGCCGAAACAATGACAAAAAAGCCCAACTGAAGGTGTCAAAACTTGTGTAGCCATAATTGGGGTTTCTACCAGCTTTCACACATATATACCCTTCTGGGCATTGCCTACATGAAAACCAAACAGGGGGTACTTAGTCATAACTTTTATTCCCCTCTAGAACATATTTATTATCTGTTGGAACAATACACATTATTTTTCCACAGGAAATCCATAAATTACAATTGAATTCATTCAGAAGAAAAAGTCCTAAGAAACTATTAACAGCATAAATGAAAGATACTCTTTCCATCCATTCACTGGTTGAAATGATCTAAATATTAAACTTCTCCTCAGTCACGTTTTGCAAATAGAATCTTTATTCCAAATGAATCAATTCTGAGCAGAAATAATTGCTAATAGGTTGTTAAGGTTACAGGCAGATTAAACAATACTATATAGCTAAATCCAATTGAAGTATTAGGGATCTCCCTATCTGATATATATATATATATATATATGCTGATACATACATTTTTAGAAAGCCTCTTCACTGTTGCCAGCCAGATATCCAAGTTCAGCTGACAATTCTAAGGTCATAAGTGGGCACATGTGAATGGCAGAATTTGCCAGTAATGGAAGAATTCAGCTTGAAAAAAAAGATTCAGTCTTTAACTGTGAAGTCACTGTTGTGCTTTCTTAATATTTTGCAGGCTCTCTTTCTTAGTTCTAACTTTTGCTTTCCTCCTACTTTTTTCAATCAGAAAATCACCAAAATAGACTTTAGAAGAGTTCAAATTTTATCATTAACATCAACATCATTTTCCAATTAAGCAGGAAAAAAGGCTGTTAATTAGTATTTTGTTTAGACAAAATACTCTCTTGTTTAGAGAGTAAAATATTTTGACTTAAGCAAGAAATTCTTGCTTAGCAGTAAAACTCCATAAGTTCTATAACCCTGCTAAATATGGAGATGCAACTAGGTTTTGTGTTATTGTTTTTTCTACAGAGGATAACAGAGAATTTTTGAAAGGGTCTTACCCTGCATCAGAGCTATTACCACAAAGTAGGGCATCTCTTTGTCCTTCCAAAATGTAAAAATGAGCTGTGTAGAAAGCATTAGAAATATATATGAATAAATCAAATAAATCTGAAAGTGCTACAAAGTAAAATAAAAATAAATTGTGTTAAAGTGTCTAGCTGCTGATTACTTTGTAGCTTGTTTAGAAACCTCTCTGGCTATTGTACATTTTATTGTATGTATTTCATCTCTGTCAGTCAATGACTGTAAGCAATTCTACATAAGGCAGAAATATAAACTACAGAATGTTCTCCGATCAAAATTAGTTACATATTTTAGCCACAAATGTATTAAAAAGTTATATCAGATATTCTTACTTTCGTCCTCAATGTAATCCTTCCAGTTAAATGTGCTCACTGTCATATTAACAAATGTACCATTTTCATTCATTGTGCTGTTAAAGTAGGAAATAATGCTTATTTCAAAAGTAGAATTGTCTGGAGGCCACTGCAGGCATTTATTCCTCAAGTTGCCCATGAACAGCTGCAGCCCTATCAGTGCAAATACACTCAGACAAAACACAGTCAGGATCATCACATCTGAGAGCTTCTTCACAGACTGAATTAGGGCTCCCACAATAGTCTTCAGGCCTGCAAAGAAAAAAGATCCATAAAATTATCAAAGAGTATCTATGCCCTTCCCATATAGTTAAGTTGGCATGCAGACACTTAAATCTTTTATTTTTTCAAAAAGTAAAGCTTCATGAGCAGCCTCAGAGCTTGTAAAGATGAATGAAAGAAAAAGATTCCTTTTTATGAATAGGCAACATACATATATTCCAATAAACCAAATATATAATGTTATTCTCAAGCAGGAAATTTTATCAATCATGCTTTCCTATTATAGATTTGATTACATTTCTTAATTTTTCCCTGCATTTAATATTCTGCCAATAATTCAATTTCTAGTTAATATTAAACATGACTTCACAACAGTATGAAGATAGCATGAAACAGAATTGCAAGTAACTTTGAGGAAAAACTCATTTGCATTTGATAAATTTTCCTGTGCATCATTTATTTCCTTTTTGGTAGCTTTTGTTGTTGTTACTTCATTTTCTGTAAGACTAATGACAATTTTAAGTGACAAAATAAAGGAAAAAATTCAAAACCAAGAAAGCCAGAGCACTAAAGCTTTTGTAATGTAGAGGCAAGTTTTCATAATAAAATGCAGAAAAACAAAGCAAAATAACCCATAGGCCTCATATTTTATGTTTCATGCAAGCATCTGTTAAACTCAAAGGCTGATTTTGCAAAATAAAAGAAGCTAATGCTGAAAAGGCAAAGAATCATAATCTAGGTTTATGATCCATGCCTTTTGCTTTTTTCTTTTTTTTGGCAACATGAGCAGCAAACAGCAAGACTTATGCTCAAAGGAAGTGAATTCAACTTCAATGGAACGAAAGTCAGCCTCGGTGTTTAACCTCGCTCTCACCTGGAATGACTGATATTGTTTTCAAAGCTCGGAGAACTCTGAATGTTCTCAACGCTGAGACATTGCCCAGGTCCACAAACTCTGTCACATATCTGTAATAGGGGAGTTCACACACAAACACAATGACAGCACACAAATAACAGTTGGAGATACGAGGGGCCTAACACCTTACACCAACTTCTTCTTACCTGGAATTACAGAAATAGTTTTCAAAGCTCTCAATACTCTGAAAGTTCGAAGAGCTGAAACATTGCCTAGGTTTACAAATTCTGTTACATACCTGTAGGATTAAATCACAGTTATTCAGAATTTAGGCAAAGTTTATGCTACTTACTTGGGTCTTTCATCAAGACCGCTTTGGCGTTTTTAGCAAAAAACTTAAATAG